TATATATATATATATATACATTTATTTATTTACTTATTTATTTATTTATTTATTCATTTCTCAATCGAATTATTTACATTTACATATACAAGAACTGAAGACAGACAGATCGCAATGATATCTCCATATCCTTCCCGATGACAACGTCCTTATCTCCCTTATCTCGCCCTCAGATACAAGTTGACAGTAGGCGATTACTCGGCGAACAGCACCCTAGGGGACCCGCTCACCTTCTCGAGGAATATCAGCGGGATGGCCTTCTCGACGCTGGACAGAGACAATGATAAACTCTCGCTCGGTAGGTGGGTCGCGTGGTGGCAGCTTTTGGGAGGATGGGCCTGTTGGCTGGTTGTCGGGTTGTCGGGTTGTTTGGTTGTTTGGTTGTTTGGTTGTTTGGTTGTTTGGATGTCTGTTTGGTTGTTTGTCTGTTTGGTTGTTTGTTTGTCTCTCCTGTCGTGTCTGTCTGTCTGCCTATTTGTATTTGCATATGTGTAAGGTTAATCGATCGATGGATAGATAGATCGATAGTTAGATAAATATATGGATGAATATAGATATAAAGATAAAGGTGTGTGAATTATATATATATATATATATACACACACACACACACACACACACACACACACACATATATATATATATATATAGATAGATAGATAGATAGATAGATAGATAGATAGATAGATAGATATAGATATATTATAGATAGATAGATAGATAAATAGATAGATGAATATAGATTAATTGATATATAAACAGATGGATATGGACTGATAGATATATAGACAGATGAATATAGATAGATAAGTATATAGATAGATATATAGATATATTAAGATACATAGATGTATTAAGATATATGTGTGTACGTACGTCTTTGTTTTGTTTCTTTGTTTATATGTGTACATGCATGTGTGCATCCGCATCTGCAGTACGTACACACACACCGATCCAGATCTCAGCCTCGCCCACCCCAACCCTCGAAGTCTGACCTCCTCCTCCTCCTCCTCCTCCTTCTCCTCCAGACTGCGTGGAGTATTACTCGAGCGGCGGCGGGTGGTGGTATGCCTCCTGCTCGGACATCAAGCCGACGGCACCGCTGACCTCCTCGGGCCGCCTCAACACTCTCATGACGATGTGGTGGACGACCTCGTACCCGCAGTGGACCAGCCTGAAGGAGGTCAAGTTCATGTTCCGGCCCAAGGAGAGGTCGGAGTTCTGCATGTTGTGAGGTGACCTGAGGTGACCTTTCTTTGATTTTTTATTATTATTATTGTTATTATTGATATCTTTGTGTTTTTTTGAGGGGGTCTTTATTGGACTTTGTGTTTTTTTTTATTCTTTCTTTATTTTATTTTCTTGGATTTTTTTTGTTTTTTGTTTATTTTCTTTTTCTTTACTTTGTTTGGGTCCTTTTTTGTTATTTGTGATTATAAAAAAAATCTATTGGTCTTTCCTTGTGTGTCTATTTGATTTTTTTTCTTTGTGACCTTCTCTATGTAATCTTTTGGAAGTTTATTTTAAATGTGTTCAGCTATTATTATGATTCTTTTTTGTGTGTTTCGTGTTCCATTTTCTTATCCTTATCTAGTATGTCCTTGTATTTGTATAACAATGGTTTGTTATTAAAACGTTTAAATGTACTTTCTGGACTTTAGATGATTCCCAAACGTTTCTTTGAGGGTTTAAGAAATAGACATGCATGCACACGCACACATACGCACACGCACGCGAACGCAAGCACGCACGCACGCACACGCACGCACACGC